AAGTTACTGAAGTTGGTTGCACCTTTTGAGTTGCATTTTATTACTATTCTTTTTTAGAAGCACATTTAGCACATCCAGTCAACAACTGGGCACCAGAATTCTTCCAGCAAACATGTCCTGGATTCTGTCTGTGCCCAAGAATAGTTTGTGTTATCTGGACATGGTAGGAGGAAATAAAGGAAGACGAGCCAAGCCAAACCTCATCACCAAGCCACTGTTAGAGGGGTTTTAAGCCTTATCAAGAAGCATTGGAACTATGTGTGGTACAACCCAAATCCTCTTTAATGGAGGGGAATCCACAAAACAGTGAACTCATGCAATAGATCACAGGATCACAGAATCACAGGTTGGTTTGGGCTGGAAGGGACCTTAAAGCTCATCCAGTTCCAACCCCTGCCATGGGCAGTGACACCTTCCACTAGACCAGATTGCTCCAAGCCCCATCCAACCTGTCCTTGAACACTGCCAGGGATGGGGCAGCCACAGCTTCTCTGGGCAACCTGTGCCAGGGCCTCAGCACCCTCACAGGGAAGAACTTCTGCCTAAGAGCTTATCTCAGTCTCCCCTTTGTCAGGTTAAAGCCATTCATTCCCCTTGTCCTGTCCCTAAAGTCCTTCTCTAGATACAGCAGTCCATGTTTCTACTTCATTACCAGCATATAAGAGTAAACATTAAAGTACTTGGCTAATCATATGAAGCCAACAATACGTGACTGGTGGATGCAGAAGAATGAACTTTACAAAGCCTTGGAAGAAATCAGTGCTTGGCAGAGTCAGGCATGGCTGGAATCCACCAAAATTCAGTTCAGGATTTTGATTTGAATCAGGTGCAAAGGGAAGAAGGGTTAGTTCATTTTCACTATCTGACAAAATCTTATCCAGCCAATGCTCAGCCTGTGTTCTCTCTCCAACTGTGGTCTCTTGCCTGCCCCTGAAGGTGGAGTGGCATCAACTGTGTTGCTTGCTCAGAGGCAAAAATCAAGACCAGCCTCTGCATTTGAAGGTGATGTATTCCAAGAGACAGACCCACCATCAGGGATTGCTTCTGGTGATGCAGATGACTGCTGGTGAAATCTGCTTAAGGGGATTCTTCTCTATCTATAGCCTAATCCTTGGCAGCAAGAGAGGTGGGGAAAGGAAGCACCTGAACAGTATCTCCCTCCATCTGCTGACAAGGCTAATGTGCTGAACCCAGCAGTACAACACAGCCCAGTTTCTTTAGACAGGGCTATCTCTTCCAGCATGCTGCAATAACAACACTACTGAAAAAGTAGTGAAAAGTAATACTATAGGAAAACACAATGTTTTCTAACAGGCTTGAGGAAAATGGTGGTGTTCAAGGCAAGGCTCTGCAAATCCATTCTCTTTCCAAGCACAGCAGTAAACTTCTCTCTCATCTTAAGCTGAAATTCATCTTCAGCAGGTGACAGTTACAGCAAGGTCTCAGGAAGTGAAGCAAAAGGTTCCTTGTGGTGTGGTGTGTTTTAAGACCAATGAAGTCTCCAACATAAAGGTAACACATGTGACACCTTCAGAATTTGTCCAGAGGAGTCAATACACGGCTTGTTTTGCAGCTCTGCAGTTCAGGTATGTATTTTTTTATTTTTTTTTAATTCTAAATCATAAGAACTCATTGTTAAGAAATGTTGTAAACGCTTTGAAACCCTTTTAAAAGCCCATGTTACCAAAAATATGCAGAGATACTCATACGTATACTGTTCTCTAGAAGAGAGTGTTTTAGAGGAAATAACTAACCTCACAGTTCAGAGGAAAGAGCAATCAGTTTTCCTTTGTGCTGGAGGTGAAACATTATGCGATATAAATGTCCAAACAAATTCACTAAGGCAAATGGCAAAAAAAAAGTTACTGAAAAAGTTTTGCTGAAGTTCAAGTAACTTATATTGTTTACTTCACTATATTCAGCTCTAATCAACTAGCTCAACATTTACTGTTATGAAAAAAAGCATGCAATGTGACCAAAGGAACATTTGTTTTAGTAACCAAAACCAACAAACTCCAAACCTGCTGGCAGACCAGATGGGGGTTAAACTCTAACCTGATCATGCTAGCAGAAATGAGGGATTATGTAGGTAGCAGTATTATTCCAAAGCAAAGCATATTTTTGGCTTAGGCGAATATATAAAATCCATTCCTCTTGCTGATTCTTGTACCTAAAGGCAGGTATGAGTAAGCTCTCAGAAGCAGAAGTCCCCAGAAGCAATGGTCCTCAATATGTCTTTCCAGATTAGCAAGGATGAACGACCGAACAGATTTACAAAACTGTTGGAACTGGAAATTTTCTTTTTGGTAAGCTGCAAGATTTCAGATAATGTATGTAGCCAAAAACCTAAGTTCAGATCTAAGAATCTTCAGTAGATTTGCAATATATAATTACAACATAGTGCTGCAATTAACTTGATTTTGAAATAGGATTTTTGTACATAAACATTCTGCATAAAATATCCTATAACTCATTAAGGCATTAAGGGAAATTAGATGCCTACCTCCCACTTAAGCCATTAGAAAGTAAATATCTAAACAGGACTACATCTCCCTTGATCACAAATATTTATGTTATCCTGCATTCGTTTCTCAATCTAAGTGTAGTGTATTTGTACTAACTCAGCTGAATTTTTGGCCAGTGGTATTTCTATACAAATTTCAGGGGAACACTGATCCTGATGATCATACTGCTCTGTTACTTCGTTGTTTATGGTGTTAAATGGTTAAGACTTGTAGCAGGGCAGGGGAACTGTTTGCTTATCCATTTCATGATCCCCATTATCTGACACCATAGTGTCTCTGTAACTGTGGGAACAAGGTCAAGGCACAGTCAAGGTCAAGAGGAATTTGGAGGGGCATTATCAGGAGGAAGGAAGCAAGACAGAGACAGCTTCAGAAACTGGGAACAACTTGAGTGTGCAGCCCAGTGAATGCATGGTTGCAAGATATCCAGATTGCTGGCAGAGGCTGACGAGGAGTTAAGAGTGTGACAAAGCAGTATCCCTCTGTGTGCAGCCATCCACTGGACAAGTGCCTAGAGCTGTTTCTGACAGAGGAAATCCTAAGTGTGGTACAACGTGCAATGCCCAGTTGAAATAATTCTTGATTCTGTTTACAAATGATAAATTAAGGTAGAAAGTACTGGGTGTTGCGACTTCCTCCATGTAAAAGAAAAATATTTATTTATACCTACATACAAATCCCACTTTCTTCTAATTCTTGGGAAAAACAAACAAAACCACCACCAAAAAAAAAAAAAACACCCCAAAACCCCACAACAAACCAACAAGAGAATATTAAGGTGCTATTTGCTCTGTACATTCAACCCTCAGTGCAGTATCAAGTAACATCTGTGATGCTTTGGGAAAATAAGCTTAACTGGTCCTCGGATACGCTGATGCAGCATTCAGTGCTGACAGTTCATACGGAACAGCTCCATCAATCCTTTCCACTTACCTGATCCTAAGGTCAGGAGGACCTAATTCAGAACTTGCTTAAAATAAAGCTACCAGTTCTAAGTTATAAAAGGAATAAAGGTCCCCAGTGCTAGCCAGCGCAGTGTGAGTATGCCAATATGCTGGGTAGAGCAGGAGGAGCTGACAAAGACATAATTTGCAATGCTGGGCAGCTGAAAAGGGCTGATGATTGCTTTTACTCCTTTGTTCCACTCTATCACAAATGAAGATCACATTGCAGAAATGAACACTTAACAGCTCTTAAAACTGCTGTTATCTGGCATTTTTTTGTTCTTCCTCCTGTGTAGGTCTCCTTAAAGTTGAAAATGGGCTATGGATGGAATTATCAAGCATATGTTACCAAGTGTGTTAAAAAAAGCATGTGGCTGCTGGCATTGTACACGAACGGAAGGCCTCATTTTATAAATCTTACATGGAAAAATGGCTTTGCAGGTTGCTATGATCCAGAATGAGATAAATTATGCACTTTCATTATTAATTCCAAATGGCTGACAAAACAATTCTGCACCAATGGAATTTTAAGGACCACACTCTACTTCAATCCACCAGTAACATATGATGTAAGTTAAAAATATGCACCCAATCAAAATATGTGAAAATCCAGAATTCGAAACCCGATGACTTTCACATTTCCAGCTCTGATGTGGCTCTGTCATAGTTGAACTCTGTACGCAAGTGACATATTGCTGAACATACAAAGTAAAATGTGTTATTCCATCTCTACTGCTCAGGACTTGTGGCCTGTTTTATACTACAAATAAAATGGGTTTGGGAAAGAATCCAAGAGAACTTGTGTGGAAGTTACTTATAATCTTTTTTTCACTGGTTGTAGTACCATACAATTCCTGCTTGCCCAAAAAGTAACCAGCTGTCAGGGGAGGGTTGCATAAAGACTGCACGATAGGGACTAAACCTGTAAACAACTACTAGTACAATGAGAAATACTAATTAACTACAACAGTTACTCCCACAGAGCATGGCAAAGCTTCCTTTGGAGACAGCAAAGAAGGGAAAAGTCAAGATGTTCTCATGCAACAGTATCAGGCACCTTGAACTGTAGAACTGCACGTTTAATTGGATGTAGACTGTATGTACTATGTTTGTCTACAATCCTGATGCTGTTTGTTCCCTGAAGCACGATGTACACAAAATACACAAAATATGCTTACCATCACCCTCCCCCCCCAAAAAAGAAAAAAACAAAACCCAAAGCAAAACAAAACTATTATTCAGTCCTGCGACTAGGATACTCTGTGTGTAGTGTGGAACGTGACAGTGACCCATGCATCATTTTGTGGTGGCGAAGGTGGTCCCCAGGTGAAGTAGACTCAGTCCGTACATGGATCACCAAAAGCATAAACCACCTCCTTAAAGTATTTTACTGTACATATCCTCACAGATGGTGCAGATTTTCTAGAGATGTGATTTTTAGCAGGTAAATCTAGTAGATCCAAACTCAGAATTTCAGCTCTTGCTTGCTTGCACGTTTGTGTGCAGTCTTACAAGGCACAGAAAAACAGAGGAAGGAGATAATGAAATGTCTTCATTAATGATAATAAAATGACTGCGAGGGGTGAAAGCAATTGCAAGGGGTTTCAGGTCTTGGTGGCGATTGAAAGTTGTTACAACTGCAAGCAGCTCTTAGGTCTTCCACTGTAACCAGGCAAGTTCTCACCAGAAAAAGAGCCATGACAGTCATCCATCCACACTGCACTGCTTACCAGTCGGGAAGGACTCCTTTGTTTGATTTCAACCCTAGGACAGTCTGCAGTAGCTTTGCTATAGCTAACCACCACTGTCATCACCTCAGAGGTCTGAAGTGATGACATCAAACAGGAGGAAAAAAAAAAAAAGATCAAATTAAAATCATTGTACAGAATTATGCTAATTGTGTCATGTGCTGGAGAGACCCCTGTAAAATGCTTTTACACGTCTGAGAAAGACCTCAGGACATCAAGGACTTTCTGACAATTATGAAGGGCATCAGCAGTGTGCCAAGCACATCTCTTTCAGTGCAAATTTTCACTGCAAAGTAAGTAAGGCAATAAGGCAGCCAAACAAAATATCACAAGGTGAGTCCTAAATGACCTGAACCAAGAGCTCCAAAGGAGAACATAATGGTTTTGCCAGTTACTTGTCTGATGTTTTTAATTTTGTAGGAGGATGAGAGAGAAAAAGGGTGATTTGATTTTCTCTTACCTTTCAACCGAATCAGCATTTGTATTCTGCTCAGGTGTTAGTGTTGCATAACTCAGGGGCAGGTTTAGACCCACAACTGGCCCTACAGTACTGAGCCACAGTATGATGTAATTTATGTGTCTAGGGAAAAAAACCCAAACAAAAAAGCACCATAAACATTATCACAACCTTTTCTGCATTACAATCATAGAATAACTTGATATGAGGTTATTCCTTCACATCATCTATAGCAAATGTTTTTTAACTGTCAGTCCTTAGGTGACAATACAGAATCTTACTCTGTATGGATCAAGGAAGTTGTTTTGACCATTTTGACTTGCCAGCTAATTGACTTTACCTGCACTGCATACAGCCTTAAAAAGCACAGAAGTGTTTCCCACCTGTTGTATTTCCGTGAACTGATTAGTATGGAAGAGATGAATTCATTAGTTCGGCACGGGTGTAGAACAAAGAATGGCTGCCCAAGTAAGGGGTGCTCCTAAGGGGCAAAGCAGGTTCCAATTAATCCTTGATGTAACTTTTCTCATTTCAGAATCTAACCCACATTGCTCTCTTACTGATAGTCATGACAAATTGAGACCACATTCTCCCATCTTGGAAAGGAAGTTAAGATCACCAACCAAGCTACACCACCATTTTAGCTAAAAAGTAAAAAAGTTACTGTTACCGCTATTACCTGAATACAAATAGGCAAAGATACTGAATAAACAAGTATCTGATCAAGAGTAATTAATATATAAATCTCCTAGGTTCAGCTGTAGCAGTCATTTTTCTCCTTCCTAGTAGCTGGTGCAGTGCTGTGGTTTTGATTTCTTTAGTCTGAGGACAATGCTGATAACACCAATGTTTTTAGTTGTTGCCAAGTAATGTTTATTCCAATCAAGGACTTTTCAATCCCATGCTCTGCCAGGGAAGCCAGGCAGCCAGGAGGAAGCAGAGACAGGACACCTGACCCAAATTAGCCAAGGGGGTATTCCATACCACAGCATGTCATGCCTAGTATAGAAACTGGGGGGAGTTACCCGGAAGGGCTAGATCACTGCTCGGGTTGGGCGTTAGTTTTCTATTGTACCTTAGTTACTGGACTGTTCTTATCTCAACCCGTGTGAGTTACATTCTTTCGATTCTCCTCCCCATCCCTCCGGGAACTGGGGAAGGAAGAAGGGGGGGAGTGAGTCAGTGGCTGTGTGGTGCTGAGTTACCGGCTGGGCTTAAACCATGACAGTAAAACAAACTCACTCCATGGAAAGCTCTTTAACAACCTTGACCTCTTATCCTTGTATCTTCTCATACTGAAGCTGGGAAGTAAACATGGTTTAAGTTGGAGCCTTAGAGGGAGAGCAAGAAGGAAGAAGGGAGAGCCCTTGAGGTGGCTTTGACTTGCACTAAGTGGCATATCCCCACTTTAGGCTACTCTACAGAAAAAAAAAGAAAAAAAAAAGTCTTAAACCAGTTGTTTTTCAAGTAGCCTGGTCAAAACTGTCCTGAGGAAAACACAAAAATCATGTAGTGACAGTTAAGTCGACACAGTCCCTATGACATAAGACTCCGCCTGTTTTTCTCTAGCCTCACACAATATGCAGTACTGCTGAAAACTGAACCCAATGCTCTGTAAAGTCTTCACTTCCATCTCCAGCCAGCACTTGAACAGAATACATGTTCTGACTTAAACACACTTGCAGTCAATGCAGAGCCATAACAGTGATCTCATCAGCTCTTATATGGGCGTGGACAATGATGGAATAAACCACAGGATCACCACCTCTGCACAGTGTCCATTCAGCTGTGTGAACCTCCTCCACTGTGTCATGCTACTCACCAAAGCCACAGCAGAGACTGACTGTAAGGATTAATGTGATGAGTGTTTTATCCTGGAAAGAAGACCCTTTTCCTTAGATGTGCTTCTTGTGTGGCTCTGTTTCTCCACAGTAAAGAAGAAACACTAAATGGATGCTCCAGCACAGCCTAGAAACAAACCCAAATCCTCTCCTGTCATGTTCAGCAAAAATGTTCTATAATATTAAATATTAAACAGGGTCTCTTACAGCTGAATGACACCTGACTGTTATATTGAAAATGCACTCCTGAGGATCAATCATCTTATGTCTAAGAGAATTTCAAAACACTTCCAGAAGCTTCAGAACACAAAAGCAGTATGCAGAAAGCTTGCTTTGACACTGCAGTGCAAGCAGATAATGCTGTTCAAGACTGCTATCATCTGCTGTTGGTAGAAGTGAACTGATGCTGTTTTCCACTGACAGAAAAAGTGGTAGTTTGAATTAAAACCCCTTTCTTTTTACCTGATTGCTTTTATTAGGTCTCTCAATAATTCTAAAAAATATACAAAACGCACCAATGGTATTCCTAAAGATAACAAAAAAAGACAGATAATGTTTACAAAACTGTTACAAAAAATAAAAAAAAATAAATTGTAGATTGAGGTAGACTGGGCAGCAATTTCAGCCAACTCCCTTCCTTACACAAAGAAAGAGCTTAAAGATGTAGCATACACTGTGAAAAATAAGAGAGAAGATAATCTGATCTTAAGTGATTTAGCACTTACAGCAAGGGATAAAGAGAATTCCAAGCCGTCCAGCCTGGCCTTGAACATTGCCAGGGATGGGGCAGCCACAGCTTCTCTTGGCAACCTGTGTCAGGGCCTCACCACCCTCACAGGGAAGATCTGCCTAAGAGCTCATCTCAGTCTCCCCTCTGTCAGGTTAAAGCCATTCCCCCTTGCCCTGTCCCTACAGGCCCTTGTTCAAAGCCCCTCTCCAGCTTTCTTGTAGCCCCTTTAGGCACTGGCAGCTGCTCTAAGGTCTCCCCTTAAGGAGCCTTCTCTTCTCCAGGCTGAACAAGCCCAGCTCTCTCAGCCTGTCTCCAGAGCAGAGCTGCTCCAGACCTCACAGCATCTTCATGGCCTCCTCTGGACTCTCTCCAACAGCTCCACATCCCTCTTATGTTACTGCCCCAGAGCTGGAGGCAGGACTGCAGGGGCGTTCTTCCCAGAGTGCAGGAGAGGGGGAGAATCCCCTCTCTTGACCTGCTGCTTATCCTGCTGGTGATGCAGCCCAGGACATGGGTGGTTTCTGGGCTGCCAGCGCACACTGATAGGTCACGTCCTTCCTCTTGTTACAACATGACAGAGTGTCACTGAAGAAACCTTCAAACTTTAACCATTAAATGTTCATATGAAAAAGCAGAGTGCATTGGTACTTAGTTTTCCAAAAGGGTAAAAATCCTTGGTTCCACCATCTTCAGCATCAATCTGTGGCTTAAGAGCATGTGATAGAGATGAAGTCTGTTCACACTCTGAATTCACTGCAATCCCTTCTCCATTCTTCTTGAATGGATGGGACCCATTGCATGGATGGAGTCCCTCCAGATCTAATAGGGAAAGGCTTCTGTTACAGGACACAGCCATCACCTTCTACATTGATATGAAAGCTATGAGGACAGTTGGTCCCGGTTAGTCAAACCCTCTTCCTAGCTTTTCTCTTTGTTCTTCGAATTACCAAGGGGTGCTTCATACACATCCCGAAGTAACAGCTGTGCCAGGGTGGTGTAAATGTCACTCTAACCCACAGAATTTTGAACAGCAACAAATGACCCAAGGGTTTAATTAAACTCGTGCGGCTCCTTGCTGGGCTCTGAGAATGGTATGTGCACTAAAGCTTCATGTCTACACATTCAGGAGGAGCTGCTTTGGCTTCCATTTGCAGATCATTTTTGAAAACTGAACACTGTCAGTTATTTGTTAACCTCTAATCCAGGAAACCAAAGTTCATTATTGCACAGATCCTTCAGCACTCAAAGTCCACAAAAATGTCATGCAAAAGAGCTGTGTCCAAAGCTGTAATTTTTCAATCATCTTGCTGCATACACCCTTATTACCCTAAATGAAAGGCATGAAACTGAAAGAATGCCGTGCTGTTTATTTAAAACCTGAAAGATAGGAATATATCACACACTAATAGGAAAAACAGAAAAACACAAAACATTAAAGGAAAAAATCCTGAGCCAAGACCCATTAAGCAAGAGCCTCTAAAACAGGAAAAGGCTGAGGCAGGGAAGAATAGCTCCTGAGCATCAGGGAAAACACAGACAACATCAGATCTGATTCAGTCAAATCCTAAATTCCAAATCCTGTATGCAACAGCATCCCCATGAGGCTTTAATGTATACTCAAGGTGAAATCAATGACACAGCAGCTCTGAGAACAAAGTAACAGAGAGCTGACAGTAAGAATGCAAGAGTTATCAAAGCCCTGAATTATTTCAGAATTGGTAATGGGCTACAGAGACTTTTCTTTGCCAGGTCACCAGTCCAGGCTTGGCCCAGGCTAGCAACAGCTAGAACTCATTACAGTACAACAGCACTATATGCAACTGACAGATGTCACACCATCAAAGTGCCATTCATTAGGGCCCTTGCTGGTAGTCACTGCAGATGAGTCCACAACTGAAGATGATGGTTTATCTTGCCACCATAGGGAGAAGTCCCTGTAGGCCAGCTCTGAAGTCAGGAAAACCAGGGGAACTCAAACTTCTGCTGTTTATGGCACACCCTGAGGCAGGGCTACGTGCCTCTGATGTCCCAAGTCCTTCTCAAACAGTACCAAAATGGTAGAAATGAAAGCTTGTGCTGAATCTGCTTTGTGAGCTTATCTACTACCTGTGATGTTCCACACACAGTGAATGCATCCTATACATAACACTAGAGCAGCAGTATTAGCCTTCAGCTAGCCTGATCCATGAGCCAGTTACAGAAAAAATGTAAAATCACACTGGACTGCAAGCAAAAAAAAACAAAACAAAAAACCCCAAACAAAAAAAAATTAAATAGTATAAAAGAGTCTTCCCCCTTTTAGTTTAGAAATCAATCTTTTTTCTAATCAGTTATGTAGTAATGCATTTTAGAGACCTATATATGAGAGTCTCGAGTCAATTCTCACAATTACTCGCTGGCATTGTACAGCATGAACCCATTTTAAGGTCGCCTACAACTCTTCTGGACAGTAACACACTGACACACAGTTTATTTGAAATCAGCAGCACTCTTTTCTTGTATCTGTGTATGATCATGTATCTATCTATCTATGAGGCTGATTCATAACACTGCCCTTTCTGCACCACACACTGTAGTCCATTATCCATCTGCATATTCCTCTTACCCAACATTCATGTGAAATAAAATCTTTCCAGGCAGCAACTAGCTTCATTGAATTTGAAAGTTCAAGATGTTGCTTCATCTATTTCCTGTAGGAAGACTTCTTTACTAGGTGACTTCAAGAAAGATTTGTAAGGATGCTCTGTACCCATTTCTGTAGCCTCTACCTCACCTCCTCCCATACAAAATTATGCAAGGGATGGATGGATCAAAGATGTGAAATGTTTCATTAGGTAGTTTGGAAATTAATGTAGCTCTGTTTCAGAAATGCTACACAAGACTGAATGTGACTGAGTGCTGACAGCACAA